AGACGTCTACATGCAGTTCTTAAAGGACTTTGAATGCGTTCCTGTGCAACCTAGCCGGCAAACGAATGTCTACCAGCAATTCTTAAAAGACTTTGCAAATGTTCCTGTGGAACCCAGCCGGCAAACCGATGTTTGCAAGGGGGTGTTAACCTATCGTCGGTATGAAAGGCAGCAGCAAGGTGAGCACACCCCGGCAACTTCTTCAGACCCGGTTGCAGAGCCAATGGTAGTAGAGTCTCCTCCAGTGATTCTGTCTGCGGTTCAGAAGGATAAAGAGGAAGACACCAACTTTGTTTCCAGGTTCCCATCTGATTTGGGTGACGTGCCACTCAGCTGTGATGCTCAAACCAGTGAATACCAACAGCCACCCCTAGGAAATGACACTGCTGAGAAAACTGATTATATGGAAGTTCTAGAGCTGTTTGAAAATAGTTCCACTGTTGGAACAGAAAAGCCAAGAGTTGTGAAGCAGTCTAAAGAGAACATGGAAACCAGTGGACTGACTTTGGTAAAGGACCCTCAGAAGGGTGAGAAAGCAAATCAGTTGTTCTTTAAGACTGAGTTTGTAGTGCCAGTACAAACTTCCATTAGTGACAACCACAAAAGTCGACCTGACACCAGCAGGAGGAGAGGATTTGAGGAAGAACCTCTGGAGAACTTTAGTAGTATGCCAGAGCCAGTGGATCCTACTATTGTGACATTTGAACCAGGAACTGGCAGCAATCTTTCTATGGATGAAGGTTTGAGAAACCTTCAGGTGCTAAATTCAGACTATGTGAGACAAATAGCACCTTCAGGTACAAGATGCCGTAGCCAGATCTACAGCTGAAGGCAGCACAGAAACAGAATGGCAAAAACCTCTGAACTTAATGGCATGGCTAGGAGCCAATTCAGAACTTGCTCCCCGCAAAAGCCTTGCCCCTACGGATGAAGAGAACTTTGCGAAGATCTTTGACCCAGGAGGGCCTACAATGAAGTGAAATTGATGTTGCATTCTTGTTAATGTGGATGCTGATGTTTACTGTTTATAATTGTTGCATTGTTGTTTGTGTATTGATGTTTTTATATAGGTAAGTGGGAACCAGCCCAGATCACAGTTATGCAGCCCTCATCAATGGGGTTCCTGATGGCTGGACCCCATGATTTGGTCTGGTGTGGGGGGGTGTCATGATCTGTGCAGGACTGGGAGCAGGGCCTAGTGCGGTCTAGTCCCAGGAGAGACCTGCATGGCAGTGAGCAGACAGCCTACAGTCCCCATAAGGCTTAGCAACGGGCTGTAACCAATCAGAGAGGGAGATTCTGTGAGGAGTCGGTTGGGAAGACAGTCTGAGAGGAGACTGTGATAGTCTGGTGGGAGAAGGAATCTGAGCTGTGCGCTGACGGAAAAGGGTGTCTTTCGTCTCTCTCTGCGGCCTGATCTTAGTGAGAAGATAGGCTGGGCTGGGAAGAGGAAGATCCCTCCGTCCTTCATCTCTCTCTGCAACCTGATCTTAGTGAGAAGACAGGTTGGTCTGCGAGGAAAGGATCCCTCAGTGTGAGTGTTAGGCAGGCAGGCTGTGGGCCTGGAAGTAAAACAGTTAGGAGTAATAGACAGCTGTGTTAGGTTATGTTTATTTTTCCTTTCACACTGTTATACCCTTTTTAAGCACCTTGCCGTGTCTTGTTTTTCCCTGCCCCACTGTGGTTTTAATAAACCCTTTTTGTGTAATTATTTTCTCTGCCTGGGTCAATCACGCCTGTATTGCTCGGCTGAAAAGGGGCGGCGGAACCCAAAGACCCCTCTGGGGTCATGACACCTCCTCAGAACAAGAAGGAACTGGCTGTGGCAGGGAGGGGGAGGTTTTGAGGTACAAAACAAGAGCGTCCAGTAATGTTATATCTGGAAAACACGAAGTAGTAAAACACACATTGTACGTTGACACCTTTTAGTTTAGAAATAATTGATCGGTGTATGAAAAAAGTACCTTTCTGAAATCCAGAATCCAGAGTGTCTGAGGAAACAAAGGAGCAGAAAGTGAGCACAGACCCTTGTGCCTATCACAACTCTAGTGACAAAAGTATCAGTTAATAATATTGTCTGTTTTCTTTTGGGGAGGGAAGGAAACCCCATTTCATCCCATCTCGAAAGCTAAGCAGAGTCAGTACTTAGATGGGAGACCAAAGAAGACTCTGCAGAGCAAAGCAATGGAAAACCATCTCGGCTCCTCACTTGCCTTGAAAACAATCTTCTGGGTTTACCATAAGTTGTTTGTGACTTGGATACACATACACACATCTTTTTTCTTAGTCTCAGCTGGAAGGTGAAGTAGAGGCCATACCTAAACTATATGGTCTCTGAAGGGAAACTGCTGGAAACCTCTTTGCTGGTAGATGCATGTACTCTCTAGTGTCCTTAAAGATGTTATTAACTTTTTTTTGTATCTGTACTGGGATATGGTTTTTGTAGTTATCGTTGTTGCAGTTAAAATTGTTTAATATAATTGTTTATTAAGGTACTCACTTGGTTTATAAAGAATAAAAGATACTGCAAAAAAAAAAAGTAGATGCTACTTCTGGGGAAAACATCCAAATTTGTTTTCACAACTCACTTTGAATTACTTGAGATTCACTTCATAGAAAGTATGCTAAGGACTGCGGCCCAACTAAACTTGGGATGCTTCCAGACAGAAGTTCCAGAGAGCCATCCTGAGCAGAGTGACAACCCTTCTAAACACACTGATTTCAATGGGCTTAGAAGGGTTTAACTCTCCTTAAGACAGCATTGTCAGGTCCACCTCAAGACCATTCTGTGGGCTTAGCTGGGACACACTCAGTCAAAGGAACCAGTGCTGAAAGGTCTGATTTGGACACAGGCACACTGCAATGGGAATGCGGGGGGATCAGGTGGGGGTCTTCATTAAATGAAAACGCCCTGGAGGGCAGTTTCTCCCCCCTTCCTTTCACTTTAGGGGCTTCCTTCTACTAGCTATCTCCCAGTTTGCCAGTGCAATGGTCACAGACATGACGAGAGATCAGCAACACACAACAATTTAGAGAAAATCCAGGTAATGCAATTCTGAGCCAAAGTTGTTGGGAAATTCTGACCAGAAAACTTTACATGGTGAGCTAAAATGGCCTCCTGAATTGGTACATAGATTCCTTGCATGCCTGGGTCTGCTAATGAAATAAGTAGCTTGGGGTAGAGTAAATCACATCTGTCCCACTCTAATGTCCAGACTGAAATCCCTGCAGTGTTTCCTCATTACCTTTGAGTTGCTTCTTGATTCCCTCCAAAAGGTGACTTAAATCCGAGAAGTCCCAGATGCGCCACTTCAGTGCAAGAGGAAAAGCCACTGGATTCTCAAATGTTTCCTTTTCTTCACACCTGGAGAAAACTCCATTAAGGTACCATCCATTCAATTCAGAATTCCCCCTCCCAGGGGATCAGAGAAACAAGGGAAGGAATTGGCAGGAAACCCAGAGCAGGGATTACCAACCTCGTGCCTGCGGGTGCCATGATACCCACTGATACTTTCCCTGGGGCCCGCCAAGTGTTTATAGAAAGTGGGCAGGGCCAGGTGGGGCTTTTGCCCAATAAGATTTCTGATTGGCCACTGGAGAGCTGATTGTTAAAAACGTTACTTTAACAGCAGTTGCCACCTCAGCAAACAGATCTTCAGCGTGTGACTGAAGGTAAGTAGTGGCAGCCATTTTGTGGCTGTGCCCACCATGGTCTGTCAGAATTCCAAAGGTGCCTGCAGGCTCAAAAAGGTTGAGGACCCCTGGCCTAGAGACACAGGCTGAGGCTGAAGGCAGAGAATGATGGGAGGTCCTTTGGGTCTTTGAAGAAGAAAAGTGTGGCTTGCTGTGGCTCCTGAGTAGGGATGGGCTCAAACCGCAGCATTCCTTTTAAACACCCGGAAGTGAACGCGCACAGGTGACTGTATGTGTGTATGGGGGGGTAATGGTGAAGGTTGGTTGCTCCAACTGACCTTCAATACCCCCACCCCCAAACACAACATACAGTGGCCCTTATGCATTCACTTCCAGGTGTTTGCGCCACTTCCAAAAGCCATTTAAAGGGAAATCTTCCAATTTCCCCCAGTTGGTGCCCATCCCTACTCCATCCTGAGAGTCATACGGTATCTGTGGGGGAATGGATAGTACAAATAGAACAGGGCCTATTTATTATTTTACTTTTATTTATTTTATTAGATTTATATCCCGCCCTCCCCGCATAGCAGGCTCAGGGCGGGTTCCATCAGATTTAGCAGTATACAAAAATTAAAACAGTTAAAACACCAATAAAATACAACAACATTCATCCGGTGCAAGTTATAGTTAAAGCCTCACAGAGGTAATCTCTTTCAAGATTTGGTCCTTAGATGGTAATACAGTTCTGACCCACTGAGGGGAGGCCCAGTAGAGAGGGAGGGACATCCACTGCCCTAGTTAAAAGCTCCGTCTTACAGGCCCTGCAGAATAGTAAAAGGTCTCATATGGGAGCTCATTCCACCAGGTAGGGGCCAGGGCTGAAAAAGCCCTGGCCCTAGTTGAGGCAAGTCCCTGGGGCCAGAGACCACCAGAAGATGTTGGTTGGCAGATCATAAAGCCCTTCAGGGCTCATAGAGGGAGAGGTGGTCTTGCAGATATGCAGTCCCATGGCTGTATAGGGCTTTAAAGGGAAGTATCAACACCCTGAAACACATCTGGTACTCAATAGGCAGCAGGGTTTGCCAGTGCAGTTCGTGCAGCACCGTGTGGATCCACATCCGCACAGACGATGAAGTCAGCACCTATGCTGCTGCGTTCTGCACCAGCTGCCATTTCCGGAGCAGAATCAAGGGCAGCCCCACGCAGAGAGAATTACAATAATCCAATCTGGAAGTCAAGTGACCAATACCCTTCCTAATACTCCCCAGCATAGCATTTGCCTTCTTTATTGCAGTCACACACTGTCTCGACATTTTCAGTGAGTTATCTACTAGAACTCCAAGATCTCTCTCTTGGTCACTCTCTGCCAGTTCAGACCCCATCAACGTGTATTTATATTTAGGATTTTTGGCTCCAATGTGCATCACCTTGCACTTGGCCACATTGAACCCCATTTGCCATGTTGACGCCCACTCGCCCATCTTTGACAGATCCCTTTGGAGTGCCTCACAATCCTCACTGGTTTTCACCACCCTGAACAACTTTGTATCATCCGCAAATTTAGCCACTTCACTGCTTACTCCCAACTCCAAATCATTAATGAACAAGTTAAAAAGCAGTGGACCAAGTACTGATCCCTGTGGTACCCCACTGCTTACCCCCCTCCACTGAGAGAACTGCCCATTTATACTTACTCTCTTTTTTCTATTCATTAGCCAGTTTTTGATCCATAAAAGGACTTGTCCTTTTATCCCATGATTTTTGAGCTTACTTAGGAGCCTTTGATGAGGAACTTTATCAAAAGCTTTCTGGAAGTCAAGCTAAACAATATCTATTGGATCCCCCTTGTCCACATGTTTGTTCACCCCCTCAAAGAACACTAAGAGGTTTGTGAGACAAGATCTTCCCTTACAGAACCCATGCTGAGTCTGCCTCAATAGGTTTTGTTCATCTATGTGCCTACTAATTCTTTCCTTAATAATGGTTTCCACCAATTTACCCGGTATCGACGTCAGACTAACTGGCTCTGTGAATAAGCTGTTTGCTACTGACAAACAGATGGAGATCCATGCTCTTAGTTACACCTGATTTGGCCCTGAGCCAAGACCCTGAAGGACCACGTTCTTCACAGGCTACCCAGTCCAATCCCAGCATTAAGAAGGTTAAAGGTCCACTTACCTCTGTAAGGTCCTTCTGACATCCTAAAGAAAAAAGGGAGAGAGAGGAAGAAGAGAGACCTCAGTGCCTGCTAAAAGACCAGACCAGGAAGACCACTTGGAAACTGGAATATTTTGCACTCTGCCTCTTTGCTTTTGTCCCGCTAGCAGACTGTACTCAAAGACTAGGGTAGATCCTCATAAAGTGGGAGAAAATCTCCTTGAGGATAATATCAGCAGAAAAAGTGGAGTCATTTCAGAGCAGAGCTGGGTGATCTGCTCTGACAACTGAACCGTGATGACTTTCACAAAGGGATTTTCTCCTCACACGGAAGGCAGGAAGCCCTCAGATTAGGGTGTGTCTCCCTTGCAACCAGCTGCAGACACAGAGGCATTCCCAGCAATGTTCCTTGAATCAGCCCTGAGTCACTGTGATTTCCTTTCTTTCCACCGGAGGGCATTTTTCAGGCTTAAAAATAATAGGTAGATTACATTACATTAACACTGTAACAACATATTGTTCTCCAGCTATCATTTTTTTAAATAACAGAGTCCTTACTGTTGCAGTGTTATAACTGGAAATGTGCAGCCTGCACTTTACTTCTCTTAAAACAAGAGCTAGAAATTAGTGCAGCACATTATACTGTCACAATGCTATAGCAATCTAGTCACTGACCTTTTCTTTAAAGCCTGAGAATAGCCCTGAGGGGGGAGGACGCTGCCCACAGGGGCTGAGAGAAGCAGAGCCAAACTCTGTCACCTTTTAGCTCTTTAAAGGACTCCCCCCCCCCTTTTCCCTGCAGCATTGCAAGACGGCTCAACAACAAAAGGGAGGGTCTGGGCATAAATGCCATCATATCTGCAAAGCCTGGATGGGCTGACATCACCAAGCAGAGCTTTGGGCTGGGAAGTCACCAGTATGCTGATAACACCCAGCTATATCTGTTGATGGCCAGCCGAATGCCACCCCAGACAATTTGGCCAGGGGTGTAGAGGTTGCGGTTGGTTGGTTGAAGCAGAGCCGGCTGAAACTAAATCCTTCAAAAATGGGGGTCTTGTGGTTGAGTTGGGGAGACCCCAGTTGGAATGTCTACATCCAGCCATTGATGGCGCGCCACTTGTGCAGGCCACTTGTGAAAAGCTTAGGAATGATTCTGGATGCTTCACTCTCAAGGGACGCCCAGATCACTAATTTTGCCAGACTGACATTTTCCCACCTGCGCCAAGCTTGGCAACTGGTTCCCTCCCTATCTCGCCCTGACTTAGCCACAGTGATCCATGCAATGGTCACCTTCAGACTAGACTACTGTAACTTGCTCTACGCGGGGCTGCCCTGGAGACTGACCCAGAAACTACAACGAGTCCAGGATGTGGCTGCATATGTGCTTACAAGCTCTCCATCTAGAGCCCACATATAACTGGCACTCCGCCAGCTGCACTGGCTCCAACTTGAATACCGGTTCAGATTCAAGGTTCTGGTTTTAACCTTTAAAGCCCTACACGGTCTGGGACCAATATGTCTTTGGGATTGTCTCTCCTGGTACGGGTCCCTTCCTCAAAAAGAATTCGCCTTGCCTCAACCTGGGCCATTCCTGGTGGAATGATCTTCCAGATGAGATCCGGGCCCTGCGGAACTCGATTCAGTTCCTCAGGACCTGTAAAACAGAATTATTCTGTCAGGCATACAGTTGAGGCAATGAAGTTCCATCTAAATTGCCCACCAGCTCCCCCTCCCCCATTCATTGCATTGCGTATCAGCTTTAAACACACTGCTTGTACAACTTCCCTTGGACAAACTGAATTAGTGCCTACGTTGCCATCTAATTTTATCTTGATTGCTATTATGTTAAATGGTTTTTAACAACTAATCATGATAATGTTTTAACTTGTCGCTAGCCACCCTGAGCCTTGCAACAATGGGGAAGGCGGGTTAGAAGTCTAATAAAATAAATAAATAAAATGTGTTGTTGCCTTAGTGTGTCTCCGCGCATTTCTGCATGCCCACCTGCAAGCCGCCAGTATAAGTTACATTCTCTTCCCCCACAGAAATCCTTTCAAAGCGTGCTGTGAAAAGTCTTGCATGTGACCCTTGTTCCTTGGTGTTTGCTTTTAAAGAGCTACCTCTGAACCTGGCTTTACCTGCATGGGGTTCCCCAGACTGTTGGTTGAGACACAAACACACTTTGGCTTCTGAGATGGAAGCCGAGCGGCCTCAGCCTACCAGGGAGGGGCAGGCGGCTCTGGATGGGGGGATGTATCTCCAGGGAGTGGAGTTTCACAGGGCCCCAGCGATTGTCCAGTCTGCCCCTGGCTTGAGATGTAAAGGGGCAGAGGGGAAAGCGGCCCATGTGCAGAGTTGATAACTTGCTAGCAACATAAACTGGGCTTGTTTGCTTTTCTGCTCAAGGGAGGGAGGCACACAGAGGATTTCGAACCAGCCTTTTCCCCAAGGGGCACCTGGGCTGTTCCTGCCACCCCCTCACCTGCAGGAGATCCCCGGCTGGCTGCTGACTCTTCTCCTCCATCTCCCGGATGAGGCTTTCCAGAGAGGAGAGTTCCTCAGAGAGTCTGGCCAGGTGCCGGTCCCTGTTTCTTGCCACCTCATTCTCCACGCCTTCCATCTGGACCAGGAAAAGTTCCTCTTGTTCCTCCAGAAACTTCTGTAGTTGCCTGAACTTGGTCAGTGTCTTCTGCCGCTCTCCTTTGGTTTGCTTCTGTGAAAGAAAAATACAGCACGTTTGCAGCGGGAAGAAGTCCCTGAGGAGACTCCTAACAAAAAGGCAACTTTGACTTTCCCAGAGATCACATCAACATTCAGTAGGAAAAGAGAAAATTTTGGAAGGAACCATCCAAAGGACACACAAATTATCTCTGCATTACTTTCTTCTCAGAGTAAAGTTTTACTTCATAAAACTCAAACACGTCCTGCAACACAAGGCAAAAAGAGCTGAAGAAGCTTCTCAGGCCTCCACACACATCGATGGTTACTTCCACATGGAGCTTTTGCACTGGTAGGGCAAACTACCCTTTTCACTGAGAGGAAAGGTGCTCCTCTTAACGTTCACAAAATGTAATTCTAAGAGGTCTTTCATTAACTTTCCTGTGGGAAACCAAGCCATCCCAAATGGCAACAGGCTGCCTTCTCGCTTGACTTTTCAGTATTTGGTAGTCTCAAGTTTCCAGTCGCTGCTCACTTCAGAGGAATAGTGACACTTACAAGCAGGTCTTGGCTTTCCTTCACTAGACTGTCTTTGTACGCCAGGATTTTGTTCCTCTCCTTCCGCAGAATCTCCACACAAGTGCAGAACTGATCCTAGGGGTGGAAAAGGTCCCAAAATTGAGGTTTGTTTGTTTTCACAAGTTTACTACAAAACATAAAAAGCAAAACTGCTATCAAAGGCCAAACTAGACGTAAATGCAGGATGTCCTGTGTCCCATACTACTCCTGGCCAGAGCATTAACAGCAAATTTTAATAAAGTTAAAACCTCCTACCAAAATGCTGCACCATGGTAGCTTGGCAGGACAATCTGCTGACCAGATATCCCCGAGGAGAGCCTGCATCTTAACATCACCCCCTTATTACGAGGGGAGGGCCATTAGCAAGGCAGCAGCCAAGCCTGGAGAGGGGCAGCAAAGACAGATCTTGTCGCTCCCACTCTGGGCCCAAAGCCCAAGAGTTGCCCTACAAAAAGTGTTGTGGGACACCACGGAGTTCGGCTAGGAGGATCCACACGTCCTCTCTTCCATTATCGAACTTGCACATTTCCTACCTTGTACTCTTGGAAGGCCTCCTCCACAGGAACGATGTTGTGATATTGGTGCTCCTGGGACTGCTCACAGACCACGCAGACGGGGGCTTCGTGGTCCTTGCAAAAGAGCTTCAGCGGCTCCTTGTGCTTCTGGCAAACTCTTTCCTTTCTAGCTGCCATGATCACCTGATGCCAAACACAAAAGAACTGCATTTGTCTTATAGTCTTCTCCATATTTCTGAAGTCCTTCTCTGTCACAATTTGCAAATGCCCTCCTAACTCCTCAGCTGGTGACTCCCCTCTCCTCTAGGAAAAAGATCTCAGGTCACATCTGGGGTTGCTGCAGGAAGCTAAAAATGAAGGGATGGAACGTCCCGGCCCAAATGCTCTCCAAAACATACCTATATTAAATACCGTGTAAGTGAGGCTTTAGGAGCTGCGGTGGCTCAAGTGGTTAAGACGCTGAACTGCAGGCTGTGGAAGGTCAGTAGTTCAGCAGTTCGAGACCCGGGTGCCGCATGACGGAGTGAGCTCCCGTATCTAGTTCCAGCTCCTGCCAACCGAGCAGTTCGAAAGCAGGAAATTGCAAGTAGATAAATAGGTCCCACTTCGGTGGGAAGGTAACAGCGTTCCGTGCGCCTTGGTGTGTAGTCATGCCGGCCACATGACCACGGAAACGTCTTCGGACAGCGCTGGCTCTTCGGCTTTGAAACGGAGATGAGCACCGCAACCCTAGAGTCGGATTCGACTGGCTTTCAAGCAAGGGAACCTTTACCTTTACTTTAAGTGAGGCTTTAGTCTGGGGGTTCCCCAACCTTTTTAGCCTGTAGGTACCTTTGGAATTTTGAGAGAGGGTGGTGAGTGCCCTCCCAAAATGGCTGCCACAAGGACAGAGCTAAACGCAAAATGACTGCCACAGCAGGTGGAACAACCCAAAAAACCTCTCTCGAGTATAGATTCTGAAACCTCCCAGCTGCCCTTTCTACACTCTCTGAATGGTCATGGGGAATGCTCTGAAAGACACTTTTGAAACAAGTCCAGCATATTTGTCCAGGTACTGGTAACTGTTCTCGGGGTTGAGGCATATTAGACCTTCATGCAGGCCTCCATTGCGTCTGCGAGCTCTCGTCCAACCCAGTTATTTAGAACTATTTGATCATTAACTGAATTGCCTCAAGGCAAACAAAATAACAGGGCTGTTGGCTGTGAGACACTTGCGAGCAGTGTTCCCTCTAAGGTGAGTTAGTGTGGGCTAGCTCACAGTTTTTTAGCCTCCAGCTCACACATTTTTGTCTGAGCTCAGGAAGGACGGCTCCAGAGCAAAGTAATTTATGCAGTAGCCAAATTGCTCGATCACGACTTAAATGCCAGTAGCTCACAAAATAGAATTTTTGCTCACAAGACTCCACAGCTTAGAGGGAGCATTGCTTGTGAGCTATTTCGCAGATAAAATCATGTCACTCCGCCAGGACTTCTCCTCCACAGTTGACACAGTAAGGGAACTGGAAGCCTCTTGTCTGTCTTCGGGTCCAGTTTTGTACCATTTCAGCCAACTCTCCCAGGATGGTGTTGACAGGATTCTGACAGCTGTAAGGTTTACCACTTGTCTCCTAGTCTCATGCTCGTCCTGACTAATTAAGGCCTGTGGGGATGGAGTTTGCCCCCCCCCCCCGAAGAGATTATCAGCTTGTCCCTTACATCTGGGAGCTCTCCGGTGGGTTTAAAGGAGGCGGTGGTACGGCTGCTCTTAAAGAAGCCATCACTAGACCGTCCGGTCCTGGCCAACTACCGTCCAGTATCGAATCTGCCATTCCTGGGTAAGCTGGTTGAGAGGGCGGTGGCTGAGCAGTTTCAGATTTTCCTGGAAGAGACATCAATCCTGGTCTCATTCCAATCCAGTGTTCGCCCTGGTCGTGGGACAGAGACAGCGTTGGTCACCCTCACAGATGACCTCCGGAGACATCTGGACCGAGGCGGGTCTGTGCTGCTAGCGCTTCTTGATCCGATGGCAACGTTCGACACGGTCGATTATTATCTACCTACCCACCGCCTTGCTGACATAGGAATTAGGGGGACTGCCTTACAATGATTTTCCTCTTCCCTCCATGGTCAGGGACAAAGGGTGGCACTTGGTGAGAGGGTCTCCGAGTGGCACTTTTGGGTGTGTGTTGTGCCGCAATGAGCAATCCTCTTGCCAATGCTGTTTAACATCTACGTGTGCCCCCTCGCCCAGTTGGTAAGGAGGTTTGGGCTGGGTTGTCACCAGTACACCGATGACACTGAGCTCCATCTGATGGATGGCCGCCCGGACTCCACCCCAGAAAATCTGGGCAGGACTCTAGAGGCTGTGTCTGGATGGTTAAAGCAGAGTCAGCTGCAGCTTAATCCATCGAAGACAGAGGTTCTGTGCCTGGTTTACCCATGAACCTGATCCAGAAACTCCAACTGGTGCAAAAGGCTGCGGCTCACTGATTGTCTGCAACGCCTCTGTGGGCACGCATTCAGCTGGCACTCCGCCAATTGCACCGGCTACCTATTGTGTACCGGATCCACTGCGTGGATGGTTTTAACCTTTAAAGTCTCAAGCGGCCTGGGACTGACATAACTGAGGGACTACCTCTCCCCATATACCCCAGAGAGACTTGCGCTCTACTGAGCCACATCTGCTGGTTATCCCTGGCCCAAAGGACGTCACGTCTAGCCTCAACCAGGGCCAGGGCTTTTTCAGTCCTGGCCCCCACCTGGTGGAACAAGCTCCCATTTGAGATCAGGGCCCTGCGGGACTTATTCCAATTCCGCAGGGCCTGCAAGATGGAGCTGTTTCGCCAGGCCTTCAGTTGAGGTGATGGTCGTCCAATCACATGGCCCCCCCTGCAAAGCGGTCATATTGAAATTGTTTATGATTGCCATCTATCCAGCTGATGGGGCTAACAGAAAGCTGTGTCGCCATTTTAGTTAATTGTTTTTAATATCTTAAAATTTTATTGATTTTATTGGAATTTTATTGATTATATTGTAAATGAAATGATGTTGCCCGCCCTGAGCCCGCATGCAGGAATGGGCGGGATAGAAATATGAATAAAAAACCGAATGTGCTTTGTCTTGCAAGGGCATGCATCTTTCTCTGGTCTTGCAGGGCTCCCCACTGCATTCCAGATTCACAGTTACTGTTGCTTGATACTGGAGTACCCCTCTTCACCAAGGGCAGCATTTTGGTGGCTGGGGGGGGGGGACAGGAACCACATCCATTGCATCGGGGTCCCCCGTGTGGTGCTGTGGGCGCTAGGGCACCCATCAACACCTTTCCTGGTGCTCGCCAATTCGTTTGAGAAAGTGGGTGGTGCATTTGCAGAGGCAGGCTTCTGATTGGACTTTTGAGAGCTGACTGGCTGTGCAGATCTTTAAAAACATTTCTTTGGCAGCAGCTGCCCCCACAGCACAAACATCTTCCCGTATCTTGCTGAAGGTAAGATACAGCAGCCATTTTGTAGCAGGCTCCACCGCCTGCAGCAGCCAGTTTGTGTGTCAGAAATCCAAAGGCACTCATCACAGGTTCAAAAAGGGTGGGGACCCCTGCTCTGGATATTCCCACATAGGCAGCGATACCTCTTGGACTAGCCAAGAGAGGCGACAGCATTCCCACTTTAAGTAACAGATGGGATACGTTACTGTTTCACTGCGTCTTGTCCGTGGGAAACTGGGGGCTGAAGGACAAGAGAACCTCCTGAACAATCAAATTCCACTACCTACAAAGGGGAATCTCCTGGCTTCGAAGAAGAATATGACATTTGAATGGGAGCCAACCTGAAGCTGAATAAGGAATCTGATATATATATATAAAAGCCTAACGTATTGGCACTTTCCAGCTCTCGCATTGGCTGTGCTGTGCACATCAGCCATTGGTCCATCAACCACCACTCAAGAGTACTCGCTTGCCATTGGCTAGGTGCTGGGTCCGCTCCTCTCGCCCGCCCACTGCCAGCCTGGCCACTATTCTCTGACTGAATAAACTGCCAAAATGACTGTCTCTCCTGACGAAGACGCTTCACCTCCTCCTCCTGCTAGGCTCACTTTCGCTTCAGTAACTGTTACTAAGCAACCAAGCTTGGTTCTGTCAGTAAAAGATGGGGGGAGGCCCTTTACAGGCCTATTTTGGCCTTTGAGAGAAAACTCATTGGGGCCCATCCTGACTAGGGTTGCCAGCTCCAGGTTGGGAAATTCCTGGAAATTTTGTGGTGAAGTATACAGAAGGCAGAGTTTTGGGAGGGGAGAGGCCTCAGCTGAATAGAATGCCATCAAGTCCACCCTCCAAAGTAGTTATTTTCTCCAAGGGGAGAGAGATCTGTTGTCTGGAGTTCAGTTGTGATACCAGGCGATCTTCAAGCTCCAGTCGGAGGTTGGCTACCCAAGGCCAAGCACTGCCCTCTGGGTGACTTGATGACACCTGACTGGCACGGCAACTAGGCCTGGCTACTTGATCCTATTCACCTCCAGCAGCCCCTCTTTTTAAATATTTAAACTGAAGAAGAAGGAGATTGGATTTATACCCCACCCTTCACTACCCGAAGGAGTCTCAGAGTGGCTTGCAATCCCTTTCCCTTCCCCTCTCCACAACAGACACCCTGTGAGGTAGGTGGGGCTGAGAGAGCTCTCTTGAGAACTGCCCTTGAGAGAACAGCTCCAAAATAACTTGTAACTGACCCAAGGTCACACCAGCAGCTGCATGTGGAAGAGTGGGGAATCAAACCTGGATCTCCCAGATTAGAGTCCGCCATGTTAACAACTACTCCAAACTGGCTCTCAACTAGGACAGCCACTGTGGCGTAGCAGTTAGCACTTCAGAGCAGGGTCTGCCAGACCCAGGTTCTTGCTGTGAAAGCTGGGTGATTTCAGACCACTCACAGACTTTCAGCCTAACCTACCTCACAGGGTTGTTGTGCAGATAGAAAGGGGGAGAGGAGAATGATGTAAGCTGCTTTGGTCCCCAATGCAGAGAAAGACTTTTATTTACCTAGATAGAGGCTGCAAGGAGGGGGGGAGAAGATGGAAACATGAAGTCAGAGGGGCGGATGAAGGTAGGTTTGCTGGTTGCTGGGATGGAGGTAGGATTGCCAACACCAGGGTGGGAAATGTCTGGACATTTGAGGGGTGGAGCCTGGAGAGGGGGGGTTGAGGAGGGGTGGGACTGCAGAAAGGTACAATGCCATAGACTCCACCCTCCAAACCACACATTTCCTCCTGGGGAACCATTGCTGTCAATCTCCAGATGAGGGCTGGAGATCACTCAGAATTAAGAAAAAGAAGAGATTGGATTTATACCCTGCCCTTCACTACCCAAAGGATCCTCAGAGCGGCTTACTATCCCCTTCCATTCCCACAACAGACACCCTGTGAGGTAGGTGCGGTTGAGAGAGCTCTCTCGAGAACTGCCCTTGAGAGAACAGCTCTGAAACAACTAGTAACTGACCCAAGGTTACACCAGCAGCTGCATATGGAGGAGTGGGGAATCAAACCCAGTTCTCCCAGATTAGAGTCCACACTCCTATCCACTACACCAAACCGGCTCTTCAGATGGCAGCTCCCTTGGAGAAAACGGTGAGCTCTATGTCATTATACCCTGCTGAGGTCACCACAGAAAATTCATGCTGAGTGCCTTGGGGGCACTCGCTTGTCGTATTTATTTCCACAACGAGCCTTATTCCTATTCAAAACATAATACTGACATTATGAACAAATAAGTGGAAACAAGACAGCTCTGATCCAAAGGAAAATTCTGAGTCAGGTACCAAGAGGCAAGAAAAGACCCAATGAGGGGATCTACTTAGCTCAGGATCCCGTTTCCAACTCCGGGAGACCAGAAGGGGACACCTAAAGGCTGACAGATTCCCAGTTTGTTGTCAAGCAGCTGGGGCCGAACATTACATGGGTTTAATTTGCGTTCCAGCAAAGACTCTTTTTCTCTGGACCGAACCTCAGGGACATCAGGAAGAAGTCACAGCAATTCCGCACTGAAGATCCCCAAGGATTTTTCTTACCTTCCTCTCCCCGGCAGGCTCCGCCTCCCCCAGGGGAGACACCTGGTGATTTCGGTGCTCCTGGGACTTGCTGCAGACCACGCAGAGGGGGGCTTCGTCCTCTCGGCAGAAAAACTTCAGGGGCTCCCGGTGCTTCTCGCAGACGCCCCCTTCGCCTTCTCCCCCCTTCGCTTCTGCTGTTTCTCCCCCCCTGGCTTCCGCCCCCTCCCCTTCCAAAGGGCTGACCTTCTTGGCGATTTCCACGATGCTGGCCAGCTGCGGGTTGGGGCGGAGGCTCCCCTCTTGTGCCTTTCCTCTGCACTGGGGGCAGGAAGGCTCGGCTGTCCCTACCTCCCCCCAGCTGCGGGTCAGGCAGGCCCGGCAGAAGCTGTGGCCGCACTCGGCGATGGCGACCGGGTCCCGGAAGAACTCCAGGCAGATGGAGCAGGTGGCCTCCTCGCAGAGCTCCCGGACCGCACCCTCGGCCGCCATGGCTGCCTCGATGCGGAAGGAAGGTAGAGTAACTTTCGTTTCCCCGCTTCCCAAAGCAGCCAGGGGGGGCGTTTCCTTTCCGGCAAATGACTCTCTGTCGGCGCCCAATCAGCGGCCCGGGGAGCGAGAGCGGTCGAAAAAGGGCCGGGCTGGAAGGCGGACCTTGGCAGGGGAAGCCCTCCTTGGAGCTCCTCAGGCTGGCATTTGCAGGCGCCTCGGAGGGAAGGGAGATCGGGGACTGGCACGGGCACGTCCCTGGGACCGGGGAGAGGCTTCTCTGCCGGCCTGGGGGGAGAAAGAGGTGTGTGTGTGTGTGGGGGGGGGGGCCTCCAAGGAATATCAGCAAACGTCTGCTACTCCTAGGGTCTGTCATTCCTCTCTGGGGGCGGCCATCCCAGTCCCAGAACACTTCTGCTGCTTCCAGGGACTTTCATGCCACTCTCTGTGGCCTGTCATTCCAGTCCCAGAGTAGACTCGCTTGGAAAATGGAAAATCCATTCCACATTTTCTTTGCAGCTCTTTTTGTGCTTTAATAAATTTCAGTGCAGCCCGGGCAAGTCAACTGGCATTCCT